TAGCGGGGGGGCTTGCTGGATGGGATTGTGCTTTCCTCCCGCCTGCCAATAGGCGCAGCTCCATTGGCTGGCTGCGGACAGGGGGGCAGCACTACTCCAGCGTGCAGCAGGCATCTGTAGAGGAGTCCAGTGGCAGCTGTGGCGCACTCCTCTCCTGCTGCTGCCCGGCGGCGACCCTCTTCTCACGCTCCTCGTCTGGCGGGCTCAAGCTGTGGCACAGGTGTTCTGTCACCCCATTGCCTTCACTCAGAACTTCAAGGTATGTGTATCCCCATCTGAGTGCTGGGAATGGGGCTGTACTTCCTCCCTCCTCACTGCACCGTCCCCATCCAACTCCTTTTAACCCCACCCGCTGTCATTGCATTTCTCCCCATCCCACCTCCTGCCCTCCAAGTCCCACAGTGCCTCCCGCCATATTCCAACCCTCATTCCCCCATCATGGCATCCCTCCCTATCCCACCTCTACTCTTCACTGCCTCCCTCCCCCATCCTCTCCTGCCTCCACTCCTACCCGTTCCAATCTTGTTCCCCTTAGAGCTCTCTCCCACCCATCTTTTCCACCTTCCAGAGTCACGATCCCTATGTCCCCACATCCATCACCCTCAACAGCCCTGCACCGCATTCATTTCCATGGACCCCTATTGGCTTTGCTCATATTATATTTCCATACACCTGTGTCCTCCCCCACGTCCTCATGCATCTGTGGTCTTCAGCTTCCCATTGCAGCCCTGCTCAGTCCACACTCCTTCTTTTCTTCTTCACTGTCATCTCTCTGCCCTATCCTGGTGTCCTTCGCCTCTTTTACTTCCCATCATCTTCCTCCTCCCGATCTTTTCCCCCGAAGCACACCCTCCTCTCACCTGGTTTTGGTAACTCCTCCTAAAATGTATGAAACAGTGTCTCTGTATAGGCAAGTATGTGCACTCATTGTATGTGTGTAATTGTCTATGTGCCTTTGTGTAGGGAGATGGGTGAATTGCTGCATGTGTGTGTATCTGTATGAATAAGAATACAAAGAAATCTGGCAACCACTTGAACTTTGTGGAAGGTCCTGACCTGGAGGGTGAGACACTGGAAAATAAGCAGTATTGGCAAACACGAGGACTGGGAGTGTGTTTTTAGTCAGTGCTGCATGAGGTAAGTGGGTGACTGACACTAGAGTGAGGCTCTTGTATTAGCTGGAGTCAGAGCGCTGACCTAGGGCAGCATAGCACACAGACACTCGGGACGCTGCTGGTTTATCTGCAGGCTATTAGTGTTTGGGCCTTCAGCCACAGTCTCAGGGCAGGTCCGGTGCCCAGGTTTATAGGACAGGTGGGGACACAGTTCCTTATGAGTCTGGATTGCACCTTAGAACATGGCAGCATGAATCAGAATCATAGGGCTGGAAGAGACCTCAGGAGATCAAGTCCAGCCCCTGCCCAAAGCAGGAGCAACCCCAACGAAATCATCCCAGCCAGGACTTTCTCAAGTCAGGTTTTAAAAACCTCTAGGGATGGAGATTCCACCCCTTTCCTAGGGAACCCATTCCAGTGCTTTACCACCCTCCTACAGAAATAGTTTTTCCTAACATCCAACCTAGACCTTCCCCACTGCAACTTGAGACCATTGTGCCTCTTTTGCCATCCGTCACTGCTGAGAAAAAGCCTCACTCCATCTTATCTGGAACCTATCTTCAGGTAATTGAAGGCTGCTACCAAATCCCTCCCTCACTATTCTCTTCTGCAGACTAAACAAGCTCAAGTCCCTCAGCCTCTCCTCGTAGGTCATGTGCTCCAACCTTTTAATCATTTTGGTTGCCCTCCACTGGAACCTCTCCAGTGTGTCCACATCCTTTTCTAAACTGGGGGGCTCAGAACCGGACGTAATACTTCAGATCTGGCCTCACCAGTGCCGAATAAAGGGGAATAATCACTTCCCTAGATCCACTGGCAATGCTCCTCCTAAGGCACCCTAATATGCCATTCACCTTCTTGGCTACAAGGACCGATCTTTTGTAGTTGGGGCCCTGAACAGCAAGAAACAAAGTATCTGGAAGCATATAGGAAGCTTGCATCTGGCAAGCTTCATTACTGTGCCATGCCACAAGCCAGAACAGACAACACTATATTGCAGGGGGATATAACATCTGGCCCCACCCACCCATATGTCAGTGTGTCCATTCACCTGGAACGCACGCAGGGGACATTTTTCACTCCTGGGTCTGATCCAGTTCTGGCATCAAGGGCCTAATCCAAAGCCCAGTGCGGCCAATGGAGAGACTGGGCTTTGAATCGGGCACAGTCAGTAGAGGCAGCCTCATGAGTTTCAGCAGAGCTGCTGCAGCCCAGATCAAAGTACAATGGGCCACCACCTCCAGAATTAAATCCAACAGGGGGGACAGGACACTGGTAGTGCAGCAACCCCTTCTGCCCCCCATGGTCTCTACCTGCTGCCCCTTTGGGGGTACCGGATGCAGAAGGAAGGGGTGCCACAGTCCAGGCAGAAAGGAGAAGTGATGTGCAGGGAGAGGAGCAGAGTGAAAGTAAGGAGAAGGAAACTGAAGTGTACACATAACAGAAGCACAACTCAGCTAGCACCAGGCAGGGATTGCACAGAGAGAGGCCCTGGGCAGGGGTGAGGGGAGAAGAGCAGAGGAGTCAGGCATTAGAGTCGCTCCAGGAACTTAGCAAGGGTGGGCAGGGGAAGGAAGCTCAATTGGGTTAAAAAATTAAGAAAAGCTGCAGGAACGGCTCAAATCAGATTCACCTCACCCGGCCCCTGAACACTGTCACCCACCAAGCAGCATAATTGGAGGCAGCGCTGGTCAGTGCACAACCCCCCAGCTGACTCAGCCTGCAATCACTGGAGCAGGACGGTGTGTGCCGGGGCTGCGCTGCGCTTCGTTAGTTTAATTTTATTTGCTTAGCAGGTGAGCGGGAGTGGAGAGAGCAGGACTCAAGTCCATGCCCCGCCCTCCCGCAGGCCACACCACTGGGGTCACGGTGCAGGGATAGGCACGGAAGGGCAGGCAGGCACTGACTGACAGCAGATCTGCATTTAGTCCCCAGCACTGCAGCCGTTTCTCTGAGCCTGGCTCCTCTTCTGCTCTCTTGTTTGTAATGGAAGCGGGGCAGGGAGGTGAGTTGGGGGCCTTTGTGTCTATGCTGGGCACTGTTCAGAGGGGCGCTGATCATGGTGAGGCACTTCTTGGCTCTTCTGTAAGAGCGGGCATCTCACACACAGGCCTTCTGTGGTGGGGGCTGGGAAAATTGCGCTCCCGTGCTCCCCTCAGACACGGAGACCAGAGGCTTCTGCCTTAGAGGGGAAAGCCCTGAGCCACACTGAGGTGTCCACACAGAACAGTGCATGAGCATGTAACAGGTAACCCGGTCCAGGCGTGGCCGTGCAGCAGGTCCCATTGCCCTGTAGATGTCTCCGCTGTGGCCAGCTTAATGGATTTGGTAGCCAAGGGCTGCCCCCTCCAGGCAGGAGGCTCCGGAGGTGGAAAGAGAACAAGCAAGCCCTTCATTTCCCGGTTTGGTAGGGACTGAAAATCTTCCATGTTCGTGGCCCATATAGTTGCCACGGGCAGGCCTCCGTCTTATTTCTAGCAGACAGGAGCCCACATCTCTAAGCTACTGTCTGGGGTGGCAGCGGTTGCAGAGGCCTACTTGCCTTATGTGGCCCCCAGCTTGCCTGGATCCAGGTCCCCCCAGCATTGGGGAGCCCCCACTGGCACACCAGCCTCCCCCCCACAGACCCTCCTGTGGGGCTGGAGCACACAAAATCTACTAGGCTGGGTCCCCCTAGGCTGTAGTGTGCAAGGGGAATGTGGGGAGTGTCTCTCCTCAGTTGGGGGCCACTTTGTTGTTTTGGGGGTCAGGCTTTGGGGTTCTTTAGTGCTTCACAATTGTGTGCAGCTCCCCCTCCTTTCTTGACTGATTTTTCTGTGGGTCAGCAGCCCCCGACTCCAGAAAGGTTCCCTGTTAGAGGCTCCATGTTAGCGTGGCGTGGAAGAGAGTGCAGGTGGTGCTGGGCTGCTTGAAGGCTATGTTTACACTGGCATGATTTTCCGAAAATGCTTTTAACGGAAAAGTTTTCCGTTAAAAGCATTTTCGGAAAATCATGCCAGTGTAAACATAGCCTTCAAGCAGCCCAGCACCACCTGCACTCTCTTCCACGCCACGCTAACATGGAGCCTCTAACAGGGAACCTTTCTGGAGTCGGGGGCTGCTGACCCACAGAAAAATCAGTCAAGAAAGGAGGGGGAGCTGCACACAATTGTGAAGCACTAAAGAACCCCAAAGCCTGACCCCCAAAACAACAAAGTGGCCGTAAAGGGAGCTCTCCCCTCTTCATCCACCCAATGCCTTTGCATTCACTCCCTCTGCCAAAGGGTTCCTCTGGAAATAGAAATCATAGAATCATAGAGCTGGAAGAGATCTCAGGAGGTCATCAAGTCCATTCCCTGCCCAAGGCAGGACCAATCCCAACTAAATCAACCCAGCCAGGGCTTTGTCAAGCCGAGACTTAAAAACCTCTAGGGATGGAGATTCCACCACCTCCCTAGCTAACCCATCCCAAATCCCCCCTCACTCTTCTCTTCTGCAGACTAAACAACCCAATATAGAGTAAACTGAGGCAGTCCATGGTATTTTGCTAAGAACCCCTATTCAACCCCTATTCAAATTGCTTGAACAAAACTGGTCCAAGGATAGATCTTTGGGGCACTCCGCTAGAAACCAATCGCCAGCCTGACACCAAGCCGCTGACCACTACCCGTTGAGCCCAACAATATAGCCAGCTTTCTATCCATCTTACAGTCCATTTATCCAATCCATATTCCTTAACTTGCTGGCAAGAATATTGTGGGAGACCGTATCAAAAT